GTATACAGTACATATTCTAGCATGTGTGATCTATGTACATTTATCCTTTGGTCACAACGTATACTGCTCTAACCATTTTTATCTTCAACAAAGATAAAAATAGCCTAGGAAAAATTAATGTGTGAAATAATTGTAAGTTATGTTATTCATTAATTCTGTCTTTTAATGACTTTCAATCTTTTTTAACAGACATTATCACATTTGGAAAGTAATTTAAAATATATCACAGATACTGTCAAGGTATGTAGCCGTTTTCCTGATTTGCTTAAATGTTTTTAATTCAGTTTGATTTAAATCTCAATTAAACATTTTGTCTGTCTTAGCTGAATGCTTTCAATCCACAACATCTTGATGAGATCAATTTTGACCTCCGTTTATCAGCATTCCAAGACATCATTTCTCATATCAAAGGGATGAACAAAATAGATGTCAGCTACTTCATTCCAGTAATGCATAACTGTTTCTACACTATACAGGTAAGTCCCATCTATATGGAAAAGATCTGCCCTTGCTTTCTGATTGTGCTCTTAGAAGTGTATTCATTTTATATATTTTTATCATATTTGTAATTTAATAAAGTTTTTTAAACACCCAGTATTTCCACATTTTCCCCCGTCTGCACATCTACCTCCAGTTGTGAGAGTAAAATCTCATGTGGTCTGATAACAACAGATGAATGTGTTAACAAAAAAAGAGACAAGTAGAAATTGTTTGCTTTGCCTAAAAGAGAATGGCTTCTAGTCATTACACAGGTGAAAGAGGCACAAGACTTTTAACCTTGATAATACAATAAAATAACCTTGATTCCAAAATAAACCAGGTTTTCACTTGATACATAGCAGCCACTGGGTTCTTTTGTAATGACTTTGTTAACCCTGCTACAATACATCTACTTATCAGCACTATGGTGTCCTTGAAAGTCTATTCTTTCAGTTTCTTGCCAAGCCAACTGAATGAAGTTGACGCCAACTGTAGTTTAACTTTGACTTAGAAATTTTTCTTATTCAGTTCCTCACAAATTTGTACTGTGCCTTTGAAAATGTGATTCGGAAGACTTCTGGGCAACATACAGGAACATCTTAAACCAAAAGAATAGTGCAGCTGTTTTAAGGTGTTCCATGCACACTCCAAATCACATTCCATCTCTCAAACTTGGTTCTCTGAACACCTCTAGAAAGCAATGCCATCTCAATTCAATGATGATATTGAGAGAAGTTGTATCTACAACTGCGTGGATGCATCTTCATGCCCCCAAAAGCATTTCTAAGGACCAAGGGATCTTCAGAGGATCTAGTGTGGAGAACTACAGTAGGAGGTGGGAATAGTCAAAATAGTTGGCAATGTAGGCAATTTAAAGGAGCCTGGTCCTGCAAAACATTTTGATTGTTACTCATTTCTTCCTCTCTTCTGTCTTCTATCTGTGCAACTTGGCTTTCCCATAACACATGGGGCTGGGAGGGGGAAATAATGAACTGCAGTAGGAGATGGTGAGGTGGAAAACATGTGTTCCCTTATCATGAATTCCAGAATGTGAGAAGTTTATGGCCAGTGGTTGCCAGCCATAAAATAGCAAAATAAAAATTCCCTTTTCTTTCTGGGGAAAAAGAAGCATGTAAAAGGTTTGCAGTGAACTTATGCACTTGTGGTCATGGCTTGCTGCTAATGAAGATTACTTGGAATTTTCATCTCATTACAACTGCTTTGAACTATCATTGGGGATCTAGTTTATGTTTATTTTAGTACACATTTTTAATTATTTCTCTAATTTATAGGATTATAATCTCATGTGTCCTGTTCCATTTCTTTTGCAGTTAGAGGAAATGGCTTTAAGTGATAGTGCTGTCCTCTGCCTGAATGCCATTATTCACAAATTTTCTGAACTTGATCACACAGAGGATGAATTCAAGGAAATTATTCAGCACACACTTCTGGATTCTTTGAGAAAAGGGTTAAAGAGCAAGATTGAGGTGAAGAGCCTAACTCTCCTGGGCTTTGTGTTACAAAAATCAGGATGAATTGAAAATCTGTGTCCTGTAGATCTTGTAATTCTCACTTTTATGTAAATAAAGTCCTTGGGAGGACTTTTTACTGTGTTTTCTGTCCCAGCTCTATTTTTAACATGACTTCTATGTAGTTATTTATGCTTGAGTTAATATGAGTTATCCTTGAATTACTAAAGGCTTGCAGTAGATACATATATGCTTTTTATATTTTATGACTAAAAATGTTCCATTATCTGTTTGCATCATGACTCCCTCTTTTCCTTGCCCATTCCTCTGAATCCATGGTGATCTGAATATGGCAAAATATCAAATATATTAAATCAGTTAAATTCTGTACACTTTGGGACATTTGCACATGTTATCCTGGGTGCAAAAAATGGCTAGGAACAGCTAGACTTTAAAAACTGTAATGTGTTTAAGGCACTACTATTACTATTGCTTTTATATGGTAGTCCTTTGGGTTCAAAGAAGACACACTGTTGTGCAGTTCATCTGTGGGCTCAGAGGTGGCTCTACAGTCCCAGTCTGGAAGTGCAGAGTCTAGCATAATGGGGGCACTGGAAGTCCATTGTTGTAGTAACTATGCATGTTATTCTGTGATGCCAGTCGTGGTTTTCTAGAGGTTTTTGGCGGCGCCTGACTTCAAAGCCATACACCTCATATAAATAAATAGTAATTACTATTACTATTATTGCTGATATGGTATAAATTATCTACTTCCATTACTTCTTTAAGGTCTAGTTTTGGTATAATAAATATTTGGTGTTTAGAAATGGTCACAATAGCTTAGGTTAGCAGTTTGAAAGGGAAGAATTCAGATGGACTGCTGTAAAAAAAGAGTTTTCTTTTCTGTTCAAAAAGTGGAGCCTGTGATATATTTTAGAATGTTAGATGTCCCTGTAAACCACTTACTACATTTTCTTTGGGGTTTTAGTGCATTCAGCAGGATTACACATCATTACTGTCAAGGTTGATTCAAACATTTTCAGAACATCCAGAGTTTCATGACTTGGTCCAGCTGACTGATTATCATGATCCAGAGATGGACTTCTTTGAAAATATGAAGCATATTCAGGTAAAAGGAAATGTTGTAACTGGTTCTCCTAAAGTGCTGTTTGAGTTATCTGATCGTGATAGCATGAAAACTGATATCACTTATTTCTTTTTCTCTATTGATATAAATCTCTGCAATCCCTGGTTTTAATATTGAAATATTTAGTGGACTAGGATATTTCAATTAAGTTCAATTAATTTTTATATTCTTTCAGATCCATAGAAGGGCACGAGCCCTGAAGAAACTAGCTAAGCAACTAGTGGAAGGCAAAACCATATTGAGTTCTAAAACTCTTCAAAATTACATTATGCCTTACGCAACTACTACCATTTTTGATGAGAAAATGCTTAAGGTAAGCTTTTGAACATAAAATGGGTGAAACTACTTCTGCTTCATTACCATAAGAAGGACATTTCTTCTATCAACACATTTGATCTTTATGTGACTTTTCATAAAGAGGAAAAGGATCTTTTCCTTTACTACCTTTAGTAGATTCCATAGCTCTTATGGAGAATTTGTTGTTGTTGGAACTTCACACACAGAATGGGGGATGGACGTAAAGGGCTTGTTCAGAAAGATTGCTTCCTTCTGCCCACCCTCTGCAGTGGTCTTGATCCAGATCAGAGGACTATAGACTTATTTTTATGTTAAAAAAGAGTGGATAGAAGAACAACTTGATGTTGAACGTGTTCTGCAGTTTAATCTTTAATCTTACAGATAATACTCTTTTCCTTAGCATGAAAACATGATAACTGCATCAGTTGAAATGGTGGGAGCTGTCTGCAGACATCTTTCTTGGTCAGCATACCTTTATCATTTGAAGCATTTCATCCATGTATTGCAGACGGGACAAATCAATCAAAAACTTGGTGTCAGGTACAGTAAATGCCAGTTTTAAGATTTAAACTATAACCATATGCACTTACATAGGAGTAAGTACTATTGAATATTATGGGCTTCTGAAAAAATAAGTGTGATTTTGCCTACTGATAATATTTTTAAAAAATGATACTTCATTATAGTTAACTGTCAGTATCTTTAAGATTTTAAAGCTGTTACTTATACTGTATTGCTGTACATATATTTATTTTGTGAGATTCTAATTCACCCAAAGATTAAGGAAAGTGAGATCACGAGCCCTTTAGCTCTTGGCCTCAGCTTGTACCATTGCTAATTTGCAACAGGAGTGAGTAGTAGCCTCACTGTTGGATCTGCAAGACATCTTTTTCTGTCCAGGCCTGTAGGTATGCATAATTACTTTGCAGTTCTCTGAAGCTTGTTCATAGCCTTCCAGTTATTACACCTTGGGCTGCTTTTATGCCACAACTCATATGCTTCTATCTACTGTACATATATATATTTGCTAACTACAATTTATTTGACAGTCAGTCCAACAAGAGTCAAAACAGCTTGCAACAGAAAAAAATACATCAAAAAATTATAAATCAAACCAAAGCAAAGAAATAGTGCTTCAAAGGACAGCATCCAGTAGCAGGAGAGCAGGTTTTAATGGATTTCGGAAATATGAATAGGGTGGAAGCCTACCTAATCTTGGGAAGAATGCTGTTCCAAAGACTATTTCTGCTAACAATGTACAATTTACAGTGAAGATTTTTTAAAAAAAACTCTTATTATATTAATCAATATAGTGGATTAATTTTTAAAACATCTTTTGCACCTGTTCTATGTTTTCATAGTACATCAACCCTTTAATTATGCAAATAAGCAAAATGTATAATTGTAAGATTGTGGCGCAGGTATGTTAATTGCACTGTAGTTAAAGTATGTCATCTATTAATCCAGGGTTATTTTTACCATGGCAGCAGTGGCTCAGTTTTCCTTGTTTATACAGAGTGTTTTGCAAATTGTTCGATAAAGTTGGAAACTTTGGAAATCAGATGCATTTCTTTTTCTTTCTTCTTTGAAAGCGTGCTAGTAATGGTGCTGGAGGCTTTTCATTTTGACCACGAAACTCTTGAAAAGCAGCTTTTGATTATTGAAACGGAAGGTAAGTTTTCTAATTCCTGAATCTGATTGAGGGTACCTTGGCCCATGGGAATCTATTCCACTTGAAGTAAATTATGGTGCCCTTCTATATTTTTTTATAATATGCAAAAGAGAGAGAGCGAAGATCAAAAGCATATACTTTTTATGTACTAAATTACAATTAAATATTTAACATTTTTCTCAACTATTATATGCAGTCCAAATTTCTAAATAATCATCTGGCAGTAAAATGCTTGCTCAAATATAGAAGTGAGTTCTACAGGCCTTGGTATAATTGACACAAAATGGGTATCCCTCCAGTCTTACAATGAAACATTTTTGCAGTCATAAAAGCATACAATTTCTTATGCCCTCCTTTAATTTACTATAAGATTTACTTTTTCTAGACTAGATTAATATTATTTCTTCTCAGGGATTTGCTTCCAACACAGTGTAATACTAACAGAAAAACAATGCCTGATAATTTCTCTTTGTATATAATTCATAAGGTCTATTATTTATGCTTTTCTTATTTTTTCAAGTTAATTACTGCTTTGTTAGTTTAGAATGCCTGCTTAAAACTAAACCTATGTGCAGTTCTGCATTAAGCAAAGCCAGCCTAATTTATTTTCTCAGTTTATGCAGACATGCTGCACAGTCTGGCTGTTGTGCTTTGTGGTTTAAATTCTTGCATTACATACAGCTGCATGTGACCTTCAGGAGGATACATCATTCTGACCACACTGCCCCCTCTTAGTATGACTTGCTGATTTTTTTATTGTAAATTGTTTTGAGATTTTTAAAAATAAGAAACAGTATATAAATATTTAAAATAAACAAATAAGTGTGACATGCCGTGCTGAAAGGAAATCAGCATGAGTGTTGCAAAAATAAATTCTGCTTCACTGACATGGATGGAAGTGTCATTTTCCACTTTGACTTTGTACACTTTGATTTTTAGATTTCTTCATCAAAGATTCTTGAGTTACTTGGTGACAGTCATGTGGATTAGATAATGTGTCCTTTTATGCAATACTAACTTGGCAAAAATAGCAAACAGTAGGAATAGTTTTATGGTGTGGTCAGTATCTAGCCTACCACATAAAGTTGTGGTTGCCACATTTGTAAAAGGATATAGAAAAAGTGTACAGAGGGCAACTAAAATTATCAGGAGGCTCAAACACCTTCCCTATGAGAAAAGGCTAGAATGTTTGGACTCTTTAGTTTGGAAAAAAGGTGAACAAGAGGACATGATCAAAGAATATAAATCATGCATGGCACAGAGAAAATAGGCTGCAAGAATCTTTTCTCCCTCCCTCACAGCACTAGAACCAGGGTTGTCCAATGAAGCCGGTTGAAAGGCGATTTGGAATAGATGGAACAACACTTTTTCTCAAAGCATATAATTAACGTGGAATTCATTACCACAAAATATGGTGATGGCCTCTGACTTGAATAGCTTGAAAAGGGGATAGATATGAAGATTGACTCTATCACAGCTATTAGTCAATGTTACTTGCAGGTTGGGAGCAACAAGACTCCAAATACCAGTTGCAGGAAAACAGTGGCAGGAGAGGAATATGTCTCTGTTACTTACAAGCATCCACCTCAGTGGCCACTGTGAGAAAAAAAATGCTGGCCTAAGATGGGCCTTTGTGTAATCTAGCAGGCTATTCTTAATTCTTCGGAGGGAATTTGTCTGGATAATTATTTTTAATTACTTTTAATTTTTTAAAAAAAATTAAATTACTTTAAGAAATAAATGGCATTGTGTGCTGGAAATGACTTATCTGGTTCAGTTTATTTCAATAAGGGTTATTCAGAATACATTTTGCTATGTGATAGGGTACCTTTATTATAATTCCTGCCTTTTGTTCTGTTAATTTTAATGGGGCTAAATATACTGAGGCTTATAAAATTGAATTATATGTTTAGGTGAAAGTTCCAAACTTCTGATGATCACTAGCGCAATAATTGTTGGCTACAAAGCTGATACTGCCAGGTAATTATTTGAGTACAGAAACTTGATGTAATCAGAATAAGACAAGGAAGTGAAGTGAGATCAGACTTCAGAGAATCTAATATTTTATGGAGATATAAAAAACTCAGAAATTGAGTTTCCAGAAAAAGATAACGGTTGACTGAATTCTTAATAGGAGTGCTTCCTGCTAGAGTACTTTGTTGCAGTTTTTATTTCTTTATCTTATTCTAAAATGGAATCTTGATTAATAAATGCCATAGTCATTTCATTCATCTTATGTAACTTCTGTAGAAGCCATGCATATCAATCCTGAAGTAGAGAATGAAGCCATGGAAGTGGAACTTAGTGATGGAGAAGAAGAAGGCCAAAAGACCAGCAAAGAACATTCTTGTGTCAGTGAACAGAAGGAGGATGCTGCATCTGGGTCTGATCAGCCTGCTAATGAAGAAGATGAGAACTCCCAGAAAGCTACAAAACCGCCCTCATTCCTGCCCAGGAATAAGAAAGAGCTGGAGTGTCTGATTAAACATATTCAGGAAACAGTGATTGCCAATATATTGCCCAAACTGCACAGATGCCTCATTGCAAAGGTATGTTTTAACACTTCCTTTCTTTTTTCCTCCGGGGCATTCAGATTGGCGTTGTGGGGATTTCTCATGCTTTTATTTCACAGTAATAGTACAGGAGAGGTCAAGCTGCAAAAGATCATATAGAGATTTTTATAACTGAAGGAAGTTTTAGACCTAAGATGCCCTTAATTCTTGTCCAACACTCTAACCTGCCTTTCTTAACAGTTCTCCTAGCTGGGGTATGAATTTCAGTCAAGCCCATCTGGAGAAGGCAGGTTTAACGTATGCATTAAAGTAGACTGAGTATTAATTTCTCTCTCAGCATGAAGAAAGATATCAAATGCATCTTGTAGTAAAATTGTAACTGAAGTGGATTTGTTTCGGCACTTCACAGGTCAAAAGAGATGAACAGCACAAGCTGGTGAAATCCAAGATTGTCAATGATGAAGAGGTGGTGAAGGTCCCAATAGCTTTTGCAATGGTCAAGCTGATGCAGTCTCTTCCTCAAGATGTTATGGAGGAGAATTTGCCAAGGTAAATATGATATCTATATCTATAATGGATATTAAATCTTTCATATGTAAATCTTCAACCACCACCACCACCACCACCATCATATAAACCTTTGAAGATAAATTATATCAATATAGTATTAAAATTTTGTTGGAGTTGAAATGAAGCTTTTCCCACTGAAATTGGTGTTCTGTTTTTCTTTACTTGGCATCTTTAGATAATTGTAGTCTCTCTTTGTTTCCAGCATTCTTCTGAAAGTCTGCTCTCTTCTGAGGAATAGAGCGCAGGAAATCCGGGACATTGCACGTAATACCTTGATGAAAATAATGGAGGCTTTGGGACCACAATACCTTCAGTATGTTTTAAAAGAGATGGAGTCAACCCTTGTCAGCGGTTACCAGGTAAGGAGGAAGCATAACAGATGTGGGGAGGAATCTGGAATTCCTTTTTCATTCTGCTTTTATTACCAATCTATAATCATTGTAGATAGTAACAGACTGTATTTGCAGAACTATATGCAAGAATGTCTGCACTTTCTCCTAATTCAGTACATCAGTTGACATTGGGTTAGTAACAGAAACTGCTGAAGGTAAATACTCTTAGAAATATTAGAAATAACATTAGAAATAGGGTCAGTGCTTCAAAAGTTTGAGAAATGCAGGATTACCTAGAAGGCTGATCTAATAGGTAACAATAGAAAAACTGGGGAAAAGTACATTGTAATATTTTGACTTACATTGCTGCAATACTCTTGCGGTAGTTTTCTTTTCCATTAACAAATATAATGGTCTCTCCTAAATATGTAGGTCCACGTGCTAACTTTCACTGTCCACCTCTTGCTGAAAAGCCTCGCCAATGATCGACTTAAAGTTGGTGATTTGGATCCCTGCATAGAACTGTTGATGGAAGTACGTTTTTTACAGCATATGAAAAAGATCAGATGCAAAATGATTTGTTTCAGCAGGTCTTTAACTTAATTCTTGCATGGGGAAAAGGTGATGCTGGGTAATGCCAAAGTCAAAACTGCTCGTTCTCTGAAGAAACTCAGATCATGAGCCATTTGTTTAAAGAAAGGGAAAAGAGCAATGGGAGCATTCTCTGATCTTTAGCTTGGCTTTCATAATCTCCAGACACATTATCCATGTTATTATGTAATGCACACAAAGACATTAAGTTGACATTCATTCTGAGGGGGCAGATGATCTTTCCTGTCATTTTATTGCTTTGTTTATGAATTGCACAAACCATTATGGTTTGCTGAGATTTATTGGATTTTAATTTTTTTTAAATGGAAGAAGGCCACATTTACAGTGTTGGACTTTTGAGGTATGTCTTAAGGTCTCTTCCTCTTCCTTATATAACAGCATAAGCTTTTCTGGTTAGTCTTTATGGTGCCACAAAATTTGTACATCAGTGAACTAAAGGGACTGTTGTCTGGAAAGTTGCACTGAAAACGGCAGATGCAGCTGTAACTATTTCATTATTATTATCTGTTGCTGAACTATCCTTATTTCTCTCCTATCTTCTGTAAAGATTTTCAGCCGTGAACTGTTTGGGGAAATTGCTGAGGAAAAAGAAGTAAAGGGCATAGTTTCCAAAGTCATGGAAGCTCGTAGAAGCAAAAGTTACGATTCTTATGAAATCCTTGCCAAATACGTAGGAAAAAACCAAGTGATTAAGGTTATTCTTCCATTAAAAGAGGTAAGAAGGTAGAATTAATATTCATTGGAACTTTAAAGTGGGATACTGTATGTCTGAATACAGTAATCGGATTCTTCTAGTGAGCAGACATTCCTGGGCAGAGTGAGCAAGCTGTAGCCCCAAAACTGCATGTAACCTCTTTTCCTTGGTCCTCAACTCCAGAGTCCCCTTTGACCAGTCTTTCAAAAAATTTCCACCATTTTGAAATAGGAAACTACAGCATAATGCCTAAAACAAGCTTAACAGTGACTTAAAAGAAGAAAATACTGCAAACCCTTCCCCCCCCCATCACTTTGTATCATTGTTCTGATCCCAAATACAATCCCTGGTCATCAAAATGTCACTTTTTGCTAATTAGTCTTGCTAAAGTTCACTGTGGGCATGTCTGTATGTGTGCTTTAATGAAAGTGGTATATACATTTTATGTATAAACAAATATATATAACTACAAGTTTTCCAGATATATTAGTCCTTCTTGTGCCAGTATTAGCTGAGAAGAACCTGGGCTGCCAGTTAATCCCAGTTATATGCTAAAGGCAGAAATTAGTAAATTTCTGGGGGCCAGAGGCGGCATTTAATATTTTTGGAAGTGTCAAAGGGTAAGGCAACAATATATAAAAGGTAGCGTCGTGTAATGTACGTGGCTGGACAATAATTTCCTGGGAGGGGGGTGAATTTGGTTGTGCTTGTGGTTTTTGTTTTTTTCTACATAAAGCCTAGCTTAGAACTTACTCTACAATTTTCCTTTATCTGGGATAATAGTGGGAAACAATGCAATTTATTTTCAATAACATTGACCAGAGGTTCTGAGGAGCACAGAAAAGAGGTTTATGAGCTATGTATTGTTCTGAAGCTTCAGGTTGCCTACCTTACTGTAAGGTAACTTCATGATCTGCTAGAATATTCAGAGGATCTTTCTGTCAAAGATTTGCCAAACAGCTCCTTCCCCTTTTCTGGTGTGATCAACCCAATCAATTATCAGTAAAGCTCCTGTCACCTCTCCCACTTATACTTTTGAATTTCTAGTATCACTTTTATTTGCTGAATGAGAAATCAACAAATTAAGGAATATTGTAGATTATCATCTAGAAAGTACAGAACCATTTTACTGCTTTTGGATTACAGTTGACCACCTGCTCCCCAATTTCCTCTTTTTTTCCAATGAATGAAACCAGGATGAAGTTGGCAGTATTGTTCCAGGGGCTGCAGAGGCACAGCACATAAGAGATTTTTATTGGGTTGGGAGAGTTTCTTGACGTAGACTTGGTTGGAGGCTGCCAGATGCTGATCTCTCTTGTAGAGACAGGACATGCATGCAATCAGTGCAAATATATCTAGTAACAGTATGATGAATATGTAATTGAAAGAGGAATAGAGGGAGGGTTCTCAGTGATGCAGTGGAGCACTTTCACAAATCTTCCTTGATGTGGAGCCATGGAAAAAAGCAAAATGATGCATTCTCTCAGAACATGTTGCTGCTGCAGAAAGGTGGGAGGTATTAGTGTTGAAAGTGTCATTCTAAAAAGATTTCTGTTCTAGGATTTGCTTTGTAAGGTGATTTCTATATTGTAATGTCGTCCTGCAGATTTTGGAGAATACAACCAGCCTAAAGATGTCTCGAAAGGTACATGAAACTTTACGACGAATTGTGTCTGGATTGATACTGAACAAAGCAATGACTGCAGACTCTGTTCTTCTACTCAGCCATGGTTTGATTAGTGAAAATCTGCCATTGTTAACAGAGAAAGCAAAGTAAGTTTAGGAAGAATAAAACATATAGAAAGCTATATTTAGTTTGATCCCCTTTTCTTTTGCTTGCCAATAAATGTTATTGCTTTATACTAAATGCTAGTAGAAAATCTATATGTGGGTGCCTATGTTTTATATACACACAGCAACACACATATTTATACACAGCAAATCCCATTTCATTATCATAAATGCAAAGAAGTCAGCAATCTCTGGTTCTGTGTTTCTGCAATGCCTACAATTCTGGATTTCTTCCATTTGTTTACTTGCAGTTCCACTGTTTCTAGTTAAGCCATATTTTATTTTAACCAGCATTTGATTCCTTCTTCTTTAGGATAAAAACTATTTTTTTTTCCTTGATCAATCTCATGAGGGCTATTTGATGCACGCAGCAGTCTTTTGGAGATCAGTATTATATAGATCTTGAGATCTTTCCAGTCTCTCAAGAAGAAATGGCTTCATTAAATAATTGAGCTTACTTTGAAGTATATGAATTCATATTAAATATCTGATTTTGGTTTCCTCTCCTTTCTCTGCTCAATAAATGCCTTTACTTCATTTAGAAGAACTGTCTGCTAAGACCATAATTCTTATTTTTGCTTTCTTCTTCAATAACTGTTTTCAGAATGAAAGCTGCAGTTCCTCCAGATCCACGTTTGCAACCAGAGAGCTGCCTCTTACTGCCACCGACTCCCGTTCGAGGAGGTCAAAAAGCACCTGTGAGCAGCAAGACTAACATGCACATCTTGGTTGAGTCAGGGCTACGGGTAAGAAGTGCCCAGCATCTCTCTCTCTCTCTCTCTCTCTCTCTCTCTCATTGATTTTTTTCTGTTTTAAAATGTGTAGTCTCTCCAGTATTAAATGAATCCAGCCTTTTATGTTTCATTCAGGAACATTACAAACAAACCAGATCAAACCTCATGACCCACCTTAAAATTGTTGAAATAACTTAATAATAACTTAATAACTCTAGTTTCTCCCTACATGTTACAGATGGGTCGCTTGATCAGAATAAAAAGTTGAGACAATCAATTTAAATATAAGGCTCCCATCAGTTATGGGAGAACTGGCAGTGTGTGTAATACTGCATTCACTTTCCATCCCTCACATGCTCTGAGTTTTTCTTTCTTGGGTGATTGGAAATCATGACTTGTCATTACATTTGAATGTATGTATTATTTGCATAAACAATTATTTACATGTTTGTTATTAATCTTGAAATGAGAGCCTTGGAAGTCATTAAGAGAATGGATCTGTAAGGCTTGCCATTGTGGCTGAACTGAGCCAGCCTATAAAGATTTGTTATTTTGTAGTAAATACAAAATAGAATCTGGAAGGACGTTTCTGTGGAAAGTTCCTGAGCAACATTATAGTTCAATAGACTTGACAGATTAGAAAGAAGAAAAATATTTCTCTCCATCCATTTCTTTTGTGTCTTCAATCTTTTTCCTGCTTGTGCTCTCCCCTCTTAATGTGCTGCATTTCTAAGATACCACTGCAATTTCTTACTGTGTTAAATAACATCTGAGATTACCCTTGTGCTTGAATAAATCATTTTACCTTTTAGATTAAAGCCCTCTAACACTTCTTTATCGTGTACAGCTGCTGCACATGAGTTTGAAGAGATCTAAAATAAATTCTTCAGATGAGCATGTTTTAGAAATGTTGGATCCTTTTGTACAACTGCTTATCAGCTGTCTTCAGTCCACAGATAATAAGGTATGATGTTTAGCAACATGTAACAACTTTACAGCAGTGCAGACAGACTATGGAGTTCAGTCCTAGAACAAATCTCTCTTTGATAAGTAATAACGTTGGGAGATTACATACTCACTGCTTAGATGTCAGAACAGAAAATCAAGAGTTTTGCATTTACTTACAGTATTTCTGTTAAAGTGCAAGTTTCTGGGTCTTACATTTGCGCAGAGAGCTTTAAAATAGAGATACACAACTGGACCCCCTAAGGCTGCAAACAGCCCCCCAAACCTTGGCCTCCAAAGACCAGATTGTAGTTTGAATGCACTAGAAGTGTGACAAGGGCTGGACTCTAGTACATAGTATATTCTGTAGATATGTAGCCAGAAGGTTAGCAAAATTAAAGGTGCCCAGCTTGGTAGAGGTTTGCTTCCCTTTTTAGGTTCTAGGTTATATACAGATTGTTTATTCTGTGTATTTATTTCTGTTTTATAATCTGTCTGCTAGCCTTTTGATTGTAATAGTAAGCTAAACTATTGATTCAGCAGTAGTGGCCCATGTGTCTTTTGCATCTATATGTTAAGAAGGTGGTACTAAAGTTTGGTACAAGTGACGGTTTTTGGAAAACATGAAATCCTAGATTTTTAAAAGCCTACTAATAATCTCAGCTGGTAGATTTCTGGTTGGTACCAAGATTTCCATGAACCATATATATCATTCTTGTTATTTTCTTTCCAGGTGATCACTGGTGCACTTCAATCATTTCTCTGGGTTTTAAAGTTTCCTCTACCTGCAACAGATAATAATATGGAGCAGTTAATTACGCAGCTTTTCCTCCTACTGAAGGACTTTGCTAAACCAGGAGCAGCTAAAGGACAGAATTTTCATTTGGTTGTCAATTGTTTCAAAGTAAGTCTTAACCAAAAGAATGGTTCAGTGCTGATCCTGGATAAGTCTTATGCCAGTGTTATCGTATTACCTGCATGATAAAGAAGGTACCTCTGCCTCCTTGAAATCTGTATATGTTAGTACATTTTACTGAAATATACTTACTGGTAATTTTTTTGGCTGTTGTGCAGGCAGAGGTCTCAGGAATAGTTCCTAGCATTTTGCGCAAAGTGGTAATCCATTGTAGAGTCCACCCAGCAATGTCAGTCTGCAGAAATAAAGAACTACTCAGCTGCCTCATTTGGAGATAAAATACACTGGGAGGGAAGGTCTGTGTTTGTAGTAGTCTGACCCAGTTTCAGGGTTGTGGGAATTCTTTCAGTTTCCAGTTCCATCTTTTCCTTGACAGCGAAAGAAGGAAATCATACAAAAACTTGCCTATCACTAATATTTATCATTTTTAACACACACGCATGCATATGTACAGATTTGTCTATTGTATATTTTTGACCATTCTAAGAACTTGAAATTAAGTCACAGAGTACCATTTTATGATGAATTAATAACATGCCTAATAAAGTTTTGAGCTGCAGGAAATAAAAAGTTAAAAAGGATTAGTTTCATCTCCCCTCAGAGTTGGGTTACATGGGTGTAATTCAGCAATAGGTTTCAAAAGAGAGAGAGGCCCTTACTAATCTGAGAAATGATAATGGGGCTTACTTCCTACTTAATTCTATTTAGGATTGTAATCTTTGTGGGAAAAATGATATTTTTGCACGTCTATAGAGTGAGAATATTTTATTTGGTAGACCAGCCTATATTTAAGTTTACAATGCAAAATTTTAATTTGCAGTGTGTAACTCTGCTTGTGAGGAATACAAAGAGTCATATAACAGATAAACAACTGCAAGTTTTGCTTGGATATGCTGAAGAAGATATTTATGACTCATTACGACAAGCCACTGCTTTTGGCCTCTTAAAGGTAGTAACATAGCAAATTGTCTTTTAAGAATTATTGCATGAAAACACAATAACTTGTCTTGTATTTTATGTGAAAATTGAAAGTCCTCTCTTGAAACCAGTCAGCCTGGAATGGGAAGCTTGGTGCAAGTGTCTCCTCTTGACACTGACCTCAAGTTGTATGTATTGTTGTCGCCAGGGGGTGGAGGTGTAGTATTTGGGGTTTCATTTCTGTAAGCCGCCTGGAGTCACCATGAGTGAGTTGGGCAGCCATATAAATTGCTTTAATAAATATAAATTAATAAATAAGTTTTTGAACTATAAGTCATCAGCCTAGCACATCTTCAGTTTACTTGTTTCTCCTGGGGAAGTATCATTCAACATCATCTTGGTGTGTTGCACCACAGCAAGCAGAATAGTTCTAAGTCAACAGCACTTTGCAGATAGGCTGTTGTTCTTCAGGTGGGCAGAACACCAGGTCCTGCCCGTCTGACTCTGCAGATCAGAAGAGACGACAACTTCCAAAGTGGCGGGTTGGGCATAAAATCATTTTAATCCCAGTGAATGGATATCTCAAGAGTTGGCTTTTAAGTAGTTGGGTTTCTGGTATGTGATGTTTTTGTGTCACAGGGCAAAGAAAGAAAAACTCTCTATTTTAAGTTGCTTTTGATAGGTTAGAACAACTTCACTCTGACTCATTATTGTCTCTGTTTTTAAAAAGGCCATTTTATCTAGAAAACTGATAGTTCCAGAAATTGAAGGTGTCATGCAGAAGGTTGCAGACTTTGCCGTTACAGGCCAAAGTGAACAAGTTCGAGTTCAGTGCAGACAGGTTTGTAGACATTTTAAAAATGTCCTTTTTATTATTATAATTATTTTCTTAGGAGCATAAAGATATTTTAAGTAATTTTCTTAAGCCAGAGATAATGATTCTTTTGGGCCTGGGGACTGAACTGGCCCTTAACAAGCTTACTGGTAAACTGTTTGCCAGCAGTGGAGAAGGCATAATTAAAATGAACAGATCACCCACTGTGGCAGTGTTGTCCAAACTTGGCCACTTTAAGATGAGTGGACTTCAACTCCCAGAATT